TGCTCAGATTCGAACAGCTCTCTTGCATCTTCCTTTCTAATTTGAGACTAAGAACCCTCCTCTTTCCCACTTCTCCATCAATGATCGTTTCTGACGCCCACGGGCAGAGACATTACTGTTTCCTAGAGATCTGTCCTCCCCCGCCGTCTCCAGCACCCCTTCTAGTCCGCCCTCTGGCCTGGTCCTGGGCCCTGTGGGCAATCCAGCTGTCCCAGCACTTCAAGGCCGATTGTTTTCTCCCCATCTTAGACGCACACCATCTTCTCGCTGCTGGGAGTGGACCACGCTTACGTCACCAGTATTGGCAGACTCATTGGGATCGTCACCCTAAAGGAGGTGAGATGGTCGTGTCCACCAAAGCCATTTCTGCTTCCAAAAAGGCATGCGCACAGTGTCCAGCACCCCAGGGGCAGCGCTGGGGCCGAATCTGAACACGGCACTGAGCCCAGACATGTGGCCCTCTCTTTCCCAGCTCCGGAAGGCTATCGAGGGCTCTGTCACAGCACAGGGTGTGAAAGTCCGGCCGCCCCTTGCCAGCTTCCGAGACAGCGCCACCAGCAGCAGTGACACAGAGACCACTGAGGTGCACGCACTCTGGGGGCCCCGCCCCCGCCACGGCCTCCCCCGGGAAGGCAGCCCTTCTGACAGCGACGACAAGTGCCAGTGAGCTCCACGAGCCTGGGATGGCGGTGCCAGCGGCAACCGACCTGCCACCCTCACTCCCACTGCCTGGGGAAGCAGCGGACGGCTGCAGCCAGGGCTGGAGCCCCAGCCTCTCCACCCCGGGCTTCTCCCTGTTCATCCTACCTGGAACCACGACACCCACCTGCAGCAAGTCGTCAAAGGCAGGAAGATGGGCACTGCCCTGCCAGGACAGGGTGGGGTCACCTGGCCCCTGCTCCCACTTTGGTGGGGAGAGGCAGCAGAACTAAGATGGGTTTATACTGGAACTTCCAATGACCAGATGTATATAGAGATTTACAAAGATTATTATATTAATTTAATAAAACAAATTCTTAAATAGCACAAAATAAACACCTAATGAGCCACTTCTACATAGAAGGCTTGTGCCCACTGGCTCTCGTTCTTACCTCGGGGCCTCTGGCCTGCCGAAGCCTACAAGGCTCCTCATCTGCACCACCACCTGCCCCACAGCCACAGAACCGTCCAGAGTCAGTGTCCCTGGAATGCAGGGTCTGCCAGAGGCCTCCACTGCCTGGTCGTAAACACCCTGGCTGGGGTGGCGGCCCCCAGTGTAGTAGCTTTGGCCTTGGCATTCAGCGAAGGAAGGTACTGGCCTCTTTTCTCCCCAAGGAGAGACGCTCCCTCATGACTGTCACTCATTGGCACAAACCTGCCCCATGCAGGCATCAGCTGACAGCTGCCTGGCCACTCTTGTGGCCCTCTTGTGGCCATCACTGGAAGAACATCGAAGTCACACCGCAGCCACCAGAGCCGCCCCTCCCAGCTGCACCCTGGCTGGCTGTGAGCCACTGGGATGCTGCCCACTCACCCCAGGAGAGGCCGGGAAAGGGCCGGGCTCCCCCAGGGGGTCAGCGAGGGGTGATAGATTCATGCTTTCATCGTCCCAATGCCTCCCAGAGAAAAAAAACCACTGAAAGAACAGACCAAAACCTGCTGTCTTTAGGAAAAAAGGAGATTTAGAGACGAGGGAGAGGAAGCACAGCACAGGCCCAGCTGGGCAGGGCCTGGGGTGGCCCAGTCCGTAGGCTCCGGGAGAGCAGAGCCAGCCCCGGGGGTGAGGTTGTCAAGCACTGTACATGGACTCGAAGGTGAGGAGAGAAGCAGAGGGGCATGGGGAGGGTGGAGGGGCTGCTGGGCTCCCGCCCCCTCCACCCCCACGCAGCCAAGTCACAACAACCCCCTGAGGGGCGCACGTCATCCGAGGAGGGAATGTGTGTGTGGCGTTTTTGATTTAAGAACATGGACATCACTGCCTGCCACAGCTGTAGCCATGCCCCAGGGGCCCCGGGCAACCCCCGGCAAGCCCCAGGAGTGGGGTCAGGACATGCGCCCCCAGCCCAGCCCCGGCCTCCTCTCCAAACACTTTCATGCAAAACACACAACGGAGAAGTGAACGCTCCCAGGAGCTGTCTGGGCAGCGAGGCGCTGCTGGGAGCTTGGAGCCCACACGTGGGCACAGAGGCTCTGCCCCCGGCCACAGCCGGGGGACACGCCGCCACCAGGTATGGCGTGGATCACTGTTCCGGTTCCGCCTCATCCTCGTCTAAGGACACCACCCCAGAAGAGGCCACATCAGAGGCTTGCCGCGGCCGTTCCCAGCTGCCCACGGGCGGTGGGCAGAGTGGCTGGCAGTCCTTGCAGGGGTCCGGCTCCTCCTCGGCGGGGGAAAGGCAGGACTCCGTGAGGGGCGAGCTGTAGAGCGAGTCCTGGGCCTCCGAGGGGCCCAGGCTGCGGAAGGCACTTTCCCGGCTGGGGGGCAGTTTGGCAAGGAGCAGCTCATCGCCCAGCAGCTGGGAAGCCAGCCGGGCCGGCGAGCCCAGCAACCCATCCTCCAGGCTGCACAGGCTGGAGCACAGGGTGTCCGGGGACACGGTCTGCGAGCAGTCGCTCTCAGGCTCCACAGAGCCCTGGCGCACAGGCCGGGAGAATCTGCGGCTGGGGGGGGGGGCCTGGAGGTGGGGCCCCAGGGGCAGCTGCCCAGCCATGTCTGCAAGGGGGAGAAAAAAAAGAGGACAGCTTGCTGGCCCCACTCCAGGTGGCCAGCCTGGAAGCCATACGCATCTGTCCCACCCCTGCTCCACCCTGGCACAACTCAGGGTGGTGGTGGACCAGTAACCTTGGGCAAGCTGCAACTTTTTTTCTTTTTTTTTTTTTTTAGGTTTTTGCTATAGGGCACGTGCGCTCACCAGAAAGACAGAGACGGGAGATAGAAAGCAAGAAATCACCCCCCAGGGGGGATGGCCACACCACAATCTCTTCTCCTCCATTCTCCTCTCAGGATCTTGGGCACGCACGCACACGTGCCCGGCGTGAGTTTAAGCCACCGGGTCCAGGACTCAAACCGTGGTCAGCTACATGGGAGTTCAGCGACGTAGCCATCACGCTAACTGCTGGTCCCAAGCTGCAACTTTTTAATGCTTCAGTTTCCTTACTGGCAAGTCGGGCACTGTCCGAATACTTACCTCTGGGGCTGTTGAAAGAATGAGGGTCTGGTGCGCGGCAAGCGAACAATGCATGTGGGCCCAGGCACGGTCGTGCAGCTTGTTTACTGCACAGGGGGAGTCTGTCTCCGACAGCAAGTGGGGCGTCAGCCCACACGGCTCACCACCCAGCATGTCCTGGCATGAGGCTGTACCGCCAGGGAAGGGGATGCCGTTTGCTAACGTGCACAAACATTCCACATGAGCTAGGAGGCCTTGGATAAATGTTAGTTATTATCATTATCCCAGGGGTCAAAGCCAGCCTGGAACTCAACCAAACAAAAAGGCTTGTAGGTTAGGGTCCGTCCTGGCCACAGGCATCCAGTCTCTCTGAACCACAGCAGAGTCTCTGACCGCTCTGGTGGA